GAGTCCAACCGTAAGTATAAAGAGGCGGCTGATCGGCATCGACGTCCTGTTGAGTTTGACGTTGGGGATTATGTTTGGGCGGTACTGACTAAGGATCGAGTGCCATCTCATGAGCATTCGAAGTTATCACCTCGTACCATTGGTCCAGTGGAAATTGTGGAGAAGATCAACCCCAACGCCTATCGCCTTCGACTTCCTTCCCATATACGGACTTCTGATGTGTTTAATGTAAAGCATCTTTTGCCATACCATGGAGACAACGTGGGAGATAGTGCTACCGGTTCTGATTCGAGGGCAAATCCCATTGATCACGGGGAGAATGATGATGTTTATGTGGAGGAACAGGCATTGGCATACATGGAATGGTTGGATGGTCGGCTTTCAAAGAAATTGATGTAAATTTTGCGTTTGGTGTCCGTTTTGAGCCCATAACCCCATTTCGGAAAGGTAGCGAGCGTTTCGGATTGAACTCACAGTTTTGCCATGACATATGAGGGTTTTTGGGAATTTGAAATCGTTTAGTGTGTTAAAACAGCATTTTAAGTTTTTGTGTTATTTATTTTCAGCATTTGTTATTTCCATTTTGTAGCCCAGCCCATTTTGGGACTGCTGGCCCAGTAGGTTATCTTTTTTTTTCATATTTAAGACGCTGAAAGACTCCTCCTAAGGTTTTCTTGGTTGTTCAAGAAATAATAAAAGTTTGTTTCTGAATTCAATCCGTTTGGTTATTATTGTCGTGTGTTTGTAGATTCAATCTACATCACAAGCTAAACATATCAAACAAAAATTAGTATATGAATAAGGTGGCAGGAAACTGCTTAAAAAAAAGCCATATGAACATGGACAGATTACTCAAATTGAAATTGAAAATAAGTGAAAACACAGATGAGATTTACTGAAACGAAGTTAGAATATCTTGGCGACATCCTTGACTAATCCCTTATTAGCCCTTGCAAAATCTGTAAATTCCTCGTATGAAATGAAACCATCACCATCGGTATCAATTTCAGCCATCATGCGCTGAATTTCTTCGGGAGTAATTGATCCAAGTGTCTTCAGAGTTTCTCCAAGCTCCGAGGATGAGATTTTGCCATCGCCATTTGCATCAAATCGCTCGAATATTCGCTCGTGCTCAGCTACTTCCTGTGGATCATCGGCCATTTTTTTGTTCAAAATTAAAGATTTGATTAGAAAATTTGGATTCTAGAGTATGTAGACTGGCTTATAAGGTGAGATCTTGAAGAAGCATATGGTAATCCATGTCAATAGGGAAGAGTTTTGCCTTTTTTAGGTACAAAAATTTCTATAGCCAGTGAATATGGTAATGCTCAAACATATTTGCCCGTTTGTTGCTCATCCATCCTACCTTTATGGATTATATTATAAACAAGACTTTGAACCTTGACCTAGCTCAGTCCAAGAGAATTTCAGATCAAATTGAGGAATCTCAAACGAACCCTAGTCGAGTTTGAGTATCCTACTGCTTCGGGAAAAACTCGATGAAATATATCTAAAATGTGTACTCAAGATTGACTTTTCCCAATCAGAATCCTCAAGCCAACATTTAACGAGCCAAATCTCAGTTTGGTTCATATTCATTTCTGAATGTGCTAGTACCAATTTCCAGCTCAAATTGTGACAAACCTGTTTGCTGATGAGTCAAATATCAAGCCAGTTAATGTTTGTCACATCCAGTATGTTCAAAATTTGAATTGACAAGCCTTCAAAGCTCGATGTATTATTCCCTGTGTACAAGGAATAAATTCATGGAAGTTCTACAGGGCCCTCACATTTGGATGGGCCTCATGTGAATATTTTATCGCATAAAATAAACCCTTCACTCCACTTTTGTGTATAATCTGTAACACTTCTGTAAAATGTTCCATGTACATGTAGACTGATTTGATAGACAAAAAATCATGGTAAACATAGCTTTGGCATATTATAAATTATTGTTCAAGTTAAACATTGCACAGGGTATTGGTACACACGAAAGATCAACGCCCCCATCACTTAAGACTTTACATCTCGAGATTCTAGCATGCTTAAAATAAAATGAAATCAGATTTCTGAACCAGGATTCAAATCCTGAACTATATCACAACTTGAAATTTCAGGCAATCAGCTCGACATTATTATGCTAGATCATCTATAATGATAAATCTGTGCCATCTCGGGAAGATTTGAGTAGGGCATTTAGCACAGCTTCTCTAGTTGGCAAAGCTGGAATTGCACCTCTTTTTGTCGCAGTCAAGGCACCACAAGCATTTGCAAATCTCAGAGCATCTCTCAGTCGGTTTTCGTCCTACAAGACAAGGAGTTGAAGTGAATTCAAACACAGACAAGAATTTTAGGAATCTCGTGAAACCATCTGTCTTTATTATGGAAACAAATGCCTCAAGACACAAATTTGAGATGTTCAGAATCCTTCAAACGAAATGCAAGAATTTGAATTTTATTCCTACATTTAGTGAAACTTTTGACATTTTACCAGCTTAAAAGATATATAGAAACAAGTATTTCTGTTACTTCTGAATTATGATTGAAACGATTCATCATTTTCTCATATTTTTGTTTATCTTATGATTATTGTAAATCAGAAGAATGTACCCACAGATTATCTGGCACTTATTTTATCTAATTTAAGAGCACAAAAGTGTAATTCGGTCTGATCTCTCAAATAAAATTGCTCTGTGGCACAAATAGCAGTCGGTGAATTATTTTATCCCGCTTAAGGAATCAGACATTTAATCTATTTGACACCATCACACGGCTAAGTCTTATTCTTATGCTCATCAGTGATATTATCTACTGACCAGGAATGAAAACGTTTCCGGTACATGAAGGGTGAAATCAAGCCGACCGACCAATGTAGAAGTTATGATAGTGATTCTTGAAATATAAGGCATCAAATTTCAGTAACAGCACAGAGTACGTCTATGCCTCATCTATTGCATAGCTAAAAGTTAATACCTGAAATAGTGATATGTCAGCAGCTATCTGCGATAAAATTCCAGCAACAAAAGCATCCCCGGCACCTGTTGCATCAATGCAATCCACACTCAAACCCTTAACTCTTCCATTGAACTCCTGCAAGAGTCAGAACTCCAGGCAGTATCAGATATACTGCTATCACAGGAATGTACTAATCATGGAAAACTTAGGGAGGTATACATTTACAACAAAAAATTTGCTAAAGAAGTGCCTATAACTGTTTTGCAATACAGAAAACACGCATTTAGAAGCACACCTTGGTGTAGTATCTGCAACCATCTGGGCCTTCGGTAACTAGAAGTAATTTAAGATTCGGATGGTACAATTTACGAACGACGCTATCATCATATGGATCTTCCCCTTGGGTTAAAAAGCTTATCTCCTCCTCACTTATCTGATGATTTATGCCAAAATGTGAGAGTACATACTTCCAAAGTAATTCATTGATGTACATTCGGAAGTTTATGTCCGTGGAGTACCTTAATTATGTCAGCAGCGTTCCATAAGCTAAGGATACCTTCTCGAGCACTTTCTGCTGATGGCCACAGTGGTAGCCTCAAATTTGCATCATACGATAAAATCACACCAGCATTTTTTGCAGCTTTTGCTGCAGCAATGTGGGCCGATTTGCAAGGTTCTGTAATCAAGCTTATAGAGCCATAGTGGAAAACTTTGGCCTAGCAAAGGGCGACAACAATCAGCAGAAAATCAATCCAAAACAGTACTATTTATAAGATACCTCAATTAAACAAAATGTTTCTTCCATCAATGTATGAAACTTAGCTCACATACCTTCTTAATCAAATCAAGATCAAGTTCAGCCACTTGGAGCAACATATCAGCACTAGGATTACGATAAAACATGAATTCACGTTCCCCATCTTTTCTGAGCGTTACAAATGCTAAAGCAGTTCGAGCACCAGGATCAAACCGCATTCCTTCATTGTTCACATTGTTCTCTTTCAAAATATCAGCAAGCATGTGACCAAATTCATCTTCACCCACCTGTACACATACCAAATAAAAAGTTGAAAAAGATTTCATCCGCCTGTTGTACAATTTTACAGAATTTTCAAATTGTTAGGTCAAATAATAGATGAAACACTAGAATAACACTAAGGACACAAAATCACTAGTCCTTTGATGGGGAAGAAGTGAAGCCTAAACGGTCCCTTCACAATATGTATTTTTTAAAAATAATACAAAATTAGAATTCAGAATATTCCTAAAAAGTACAGCTAATGTGAAACATTTGAGCTTGTAACCAAACCTTAAACTCCTGAATCAGTTGACGGGATCATAAATACTCATTAAATCGTTATGAAAAATAACCATGCACAACAAATAGTATTATTAACTATACCTTCCCAATAAAAGCTGATGAACCACCAAGGCGAGCTATGCCAACGGCAACATTAGCAGGTGCACCACCAGGAGCTTTCTTAAATGCAGGTGCTTCAGCCAAGGAGATGCCACCTGTTGTTGGGACGAAATCAATCAGCATTTCCCCAAAACAAACCACAAGAGACTCTTCCTTTTCCAATGGCCCACTATTGCTTTCTAATGCTTTTCCTATAAGAAATGAGAACAAGGAATAGATCGTCAAAGAAATTCTTGAACTATATAAAGATATCATCCAGTGCAAGAGCCGTAAAAGAACTGTTTAGTTTATCTTTCAATTTTATTTAACATTTTAGCAGGTTCCGCTTTTCATTGTAGACTCAGACACATACTACAGTAAAGCGATTTGAACATCCATCTTCATGAAAGAAAGATGTGTCAACTTATCTACATAATATAGATTCATTAAGCATCAATTTAACTTCCTATATCAAAACAGTTATGAAATTAAGTGAAATCAAGTGATCTGTGCTAAGTACAACACTGTCCAAAATACAATTTCGCAAGCAATTATAACTCGAATAGATGCTCGCCTTGAAGTCTAAAGCCTGGAAATGAAGCCGGCGACTGCGAAGAAAAAACCAGTGACTTGACTTCGCACTGGCAGAGAACGAAGGGCCTCAATAACCTGTGGGATGACCCAGAAGCTTGACGATTCAAGGAGACACAGCTGAAGCTCGAGGCAGCCGAATGAATAGCCATTAATTCAGCTCAAAAGAAAATCTCAATTATGGGGAACTTGAGGGCCCATTTAAATTACTGTTTGGCGTTAATATTGACGGCCTGAAGGGGAATGTAAGCAGACAAATCGTTTATATCGACAAGTGTTCCAATTCTTTATATATTGGTCATTATTTCGATATTTTTACCGATGTGGGATTATATTCCCTTAACATGCCCCCGCAAGATGGTGGCTCATTTGAGCAGACCAATCTTGAAATCCGTGTGCTCATTTTTAGAGACTTAATCGGATCGAATCGCTCGTTGGAGCTTAATGGGCTCTGATACCATGTTAAAGTTTGGGGTCCATCTTAATAAGGTCAACCTTATTAAGAGGAGTGTCCCAATTCTTTATATATTGGTCATTATTTCGATATTTTTATCGATGTGGGATTATATTCCCTTAACATAAAGTCATTTGTATTCCAAAGTTAGCAAAATTGCATCGCTGGTCCTCAATGACATGACTGGTTCGATTCTATGTTAAATTGTCACATGATAATTGTATGTCTAATTAAGGAACAATACTGCGATGTTCCCTTCCATATTCACCGAAAAATTGTTGCGTCGGTACTCAATTTTAGATGTCATGTGAAATGCATCCTTTCATTTTTATAGTGTCACGTACAGGAATGTGAAATACTATTATAAACAAAAAAACATGTAAAATGTAGTTAGATAAAGATAAAAATTTCGTAGATTTGATAAAAAAAAGAAAGATAAAATATATGATTGAAAAGTTAATAAAACTTGTGGATCTCATAAAAATCTAAGGCTCTAATTGCAATTATTTCTTTATTTTCTCTTTTTATTTATTTAAAAGGTAGGGTAAATTCGTCATTTACAAGGTTTCAATAGTGAAAATGAACAAATTTATTGTTTTTCCACAACGTTTGCTTGATTTGAGGGGTGTTATGTCAAAATGAAGAATATAATTATTTGGGTTCTTCTACATGTACACCGAGTTTGACACTCCGGTGTACCGACCCCCTCACAAGAGGGGAGCCCACGATTTTTTTATTTGGCGTGGGCCCCCCTCTTGTGAGGGGGTCGGTGCCCGGTGTACAACTAGAAAAATCCTAATTATTTTGCACAAAATATATAAATCGATAGGGATGACAAAAATACCCGTTAAATGCAATACCTATGGCTCCCAAATGGGGGCATAGATTATTTGCTTAATCGGGTAATCAGGTCAAGTACGAGTAACTGGGATCTGTCTTGCCCTGTTTAATTTTTTTTAAAAAAATTCAATAATTTAAATGAAAAAAATCCACAAAATTTCATTAATTATATTAGAAAATGACAACTAAAATTATCTAAGAAATATGATTAACAATAAAACCTTAATTTATCAAATATATTTGAATAATATAACTTTTGAAAATAAATTAGTTAATTAAAATTTTTTTACTAACTATATTATTTTTTCACTTGAATGAATGAGGTAATAAAATGAATTATGAAAAACTAAAAGAAAAATAAATAAGTTAAATGGGTACATAAATGGGGCAACTATCCAAACCCCGCCTTAAATGGGTAACGGGAAGGGAAAATGTTTGACAAAGTGAGCCCGTCCTGTTGCCAACCCTATGAGAGGGGGACATTATTCCATGAAAGGTCAACAACCCTCTTCGCTCTTTAAGCTATCCTCCCATTTTGCTTTTCATAAAATACTCTACAATTTCTTTTTTTTCTTTCTTAAATTTCACCGACGTGTGACGTGAAAAAGTGTATTTCGACAAGGAATAATCTACTTTATCAATTTTTAATACCTAGCATTATAGCATATAACTTCTTTTAGTTATACTTTTACATTTGAATTTTAGATTAAACCATTTGAAGAACAATAATAAGTCACATGCATTTAGGCGGACGCAGAAATTTTTAGTTAGGGGTACAATTAAATTCTGTACAAATTGAATACTTTGTTGTTGATTTTTAAATGATTTATACTTGATCTGAGAAAATGCAGATTTATATTTAAAAAATATTTCTTCATTAATATTTTTCCCATAATTTTCATCCATTCAATTTCAAATAATTATTTTATTAATATTTTACTCATCACAAGAAAATTCATATTTATACTGAAAAATTTATAGTGTATTTAATACTTTGATCAATTCAAGTGACCGAAAGGATAAACATATAACCAATATTCAATCAAATAAATAAAATTCGTTAAATATAAGTTAAATTGAATATAATCAGTTCAGACACATTTTGTGTACACAAATAGAATATGAGACAATGCAAATTTAGATTCTAATTAATTGAAAATTTGATTGAAAAGTAAAAATTTATAGTAGATGTGGCAATATGTAGAAAAATTTCAAATAAATTTTAAAAAATTAGAAGAGTTAAGGTTTTGGTGAATGGAGTAAAGGAGATAGAATAAGAGAAAAGAAAAAAAAAATCAATTTTATTGTGAATTTGCCCTTGTTTGGTGGGGATTAAAATCAAATTTTTAGTAAATTTTGATAAAAGTTAAAAAGTTAAGGATTTCATGAAAATATATTATTAGAATTAATTATTAACTTTGATTTCAACCAATATCAAGCAGTACCTATCCAAAAAAAAAAAAGATAATCCCAAAATTTGGGGGGGTCACTTGATCCTGCAGGACCCCTCTTGGGTCTGCCCTTGTATATCATTTCTTCAATCCCATAAGTTTGGAAGTGTGTATTTTGCTAAAATATATTTAGTTATTGCAATTCTATTTCTAATAGCGGGTCACATGTATAGAACTAACTGGGACATTGACCATGGCCCAAAAGATATTTTAGAAGCTCATAAAGGTCCATTTACAAGTCAGGGTCCTGAGCAATTGCAATAATAGGGTTAATTGATATTCCAGATATAGTAGATGCTATTGAAGCATGTGGATCATATTGGAGTTGGGACCCAACATGCAAATAACTTTCATCATATTATTTTCGTGGTTGGAACAAAATATCTAAAATCTGAAAAAAATCTAATCAATATTATTAGAAGACATGATTTTTTTTTTTATTTGTTTCCTAATTGATTTGATAAAAATCTTGAGTAATTACATTACCATTTCTAGGTGAAACACCAAATAAATATATTTAACGAAATAAAAACCATGAATTTCTATTGGTAATTGGATTGGTTAATAAAATGAGATCGGCAAGGTATAGTTTAGATGGCACGCAAAGGATAAAGTCTATAATTTAAATATTGCTTTTAACTGATTTTACGCCTTGACTGCTTTTAACGGATTTACGCCTTGACAGGTAATAGTCTCTATCATAAAACTGCCAAAAGCGTGTGATTCGAAAGCCTTTCTTCCACTCCACGCCACCCCACTCTTCTTTTTATTTAAAAAAAAAAAAAAAAAAAAAAATCCCCATGTGAGAAACATCCCTCTGTTCCTCCAATACTTGCCGTTTAAACGTGCCCATCCCTGATTGGTTTAAAATCTTTTAGAGATCAATTTGAGCAGAATTAATTTAGCCAACATTTGACGCATATAACAAGTTAGTCCCTGTTTGGCACCCATTTTTATCAAAATGCATTTCTCTCTCTCTTCTTTTTAATCACACATTCTTTATTAAAATAATATTACACGTAAATCAAAAAATTTTTCTTATTTTTCAACCACACATTTCTCATCAATTTACTATTCAAAAATTCATTTTCACATAAAAATTCCTACCAAACACCCTCTTAATATTTCTAATAATAAGCTGTCACACATGTTTACTACATTCGATGACTATGACTAAAATTACTTTTTTTAACAATTCTTTTTTGCTCTATTGAATGATAATCTTGCTCTTGTTGTCATATATAGAAGATTTTCTCTTGTTGATCTTGCTATTCTCATTTCCCTCTCAACCCAATGGCGATAATTACCTACAATGGAGCTGTTCTATATGAATTTCCCTTAATGCCAATAAAAAGCTTGGCTTTGTTGACGGGTCATTAAAATATTGCTGCTCAACTTTGAAGTCGTTCCAATAGGGTCTTGACTTGACTCCTCAATAGCCTTGACCATTCTATTTTTTATAGTCTTTTACTATACAAATCCTCATGAAATTTGGCAAGACTTGCATTGTCCTTTTTTTCAAAGCTAATAATGCTTGTCTTGTCTTCATATCCTCCAATTCATTTTTAAGTGCATATTTCATGGAATTCACAATTTTTTTTTTTATTTTTCAATCACATATTTTATTGAAGTGCAAAAAAAAAAAAAAAAAAAACTGATCTTAGTGGGACTTGTTGCCATACATATTTAGAAATATAATGATATTGGATGTGAAGAATAGGGTCAAGCAGAGTCCAGACAGATTTAATTGGGTCTAGTACTGGAGTGTAGAAGGGTTGTACTAAATGTACGTATCAATATATATTTTGATATCCCATCATTGTGTAAAATATTAGGCCCTATTTGATTGCACAAATTTCTCATGGAAGTAGGAAATTGAATTCTATTTTCACCTTTTTGCATATTTGATTGGCCAAATTTTCTTGGCAATTGGTTTTCTTGTCAATTGGTCACGTGACCCCTTTTTCCACATTTTTGAAGAATTGGTTTTCCATGTTTTTTCTTTGACAATTGAAACAAATTCTATCCATTTAGTTGACAATTTTCATGAAAAACAAATTCAAACGAACACCAACAAATTCAAAATTTCAATATTTTCAGATGAAAAATTATATCAATCAAACACATTTAATTGACAACTCTCAGTAAAACAAGTTATAGATAACTCAATTTCCTAGAATTGGTTTTCTTTTCACCCAAATTACATTCTTGTAATCAAACGAACCCTTATATAAATAGTTATGCACAAGAAAGTATTTTTCTAGAAAATGGCAATTGACACAAAATATCCATACATTTCATTTTTTGGCATTTTCACCCCATACCTTCCACATTTCATTGTGCAAAAGGTCATTTTCATCTATTTTTTACGATTTTACTCTTCTATTTAAATAAAACAAAAAGAAAGGAAAAGAAAAAACAATGAACTAATTGCAACTAAAGTCCCAAATTTAAAAAAAATTACAATTGAGTTAAAAATATTTACTTAAAAATCAAAACTAAAAAAAAAAAAAAAAACTTTATTTTTACCTTGAGTTAAACCTACAGCCGCCTAAATTACTGAGGGTTTAACCTACCACCCATCGCGACCTAAATCGCCAAAAATGCTCCTCTCACTAGAGTAAATAATTGCTAAATAAAAATTAATTGAATGGTAGCATGTTGGGCCAGATCATCCCACTCTACAATTCCATACCAAAAATCAACATAACAATTCCAAAATCAGATGAAATTCAGGCCTAAAAGCTTGTCTTTACGCAAGACTTCAGCACCAGTTCCGGCCACCCTCCAACACCCATGGCCAAACTCCATTACAGGCTTCTAATACTCCTCCATGCAAGCAGTTTCAGGGTCCCATATAATCAAGAAACAATTTAAATTAGATTCAATCTCATTCCAATTTGAAGACAGCGAACCACACAATTTTCATCCCAAATTCTAACGCCAACATTGAGAACCAAGACCGAGGACCACCACCATATTCTTCTACTCATCATGGTGAACAAAATGCATACATGGGTCTTCATCAATTTGTCTCGAATCAACCAATTCGTGAAGATGCACCTTTTACCTGTAAATGCCTCTCAACTCCATTTCAATTGAACACTTAAATCTGCTCCAATTTTGCTGGAAGTGATGCAATGGAATTCATGCCACAAAACTTAATTAAAACTTTATCAAAATTTCAATGCTCTCCAATTTGGTGGGTTAATTTTTTTTTATTATTATTTTTTGATTTTTAAGAATATATTTCTAACTCATTTGTAATTTTTTAAAATTTTGGGACTTTGGTCGCAATTAATTCATTGTTTTTTCTTTTCTTTTGTTTTAGAGCCTGTTTGATACCTCCATTCTCCATGGAACTTTCACCCCGAAAGTGTTGATCGATGACCAAAATTTTCCATGGAATTGCCTTTCTACCCTACCCCATGTGACCCATTTTCTGCCTTTTTACGGAAAATCAATTCCTTTGATTTTGGTGAGAATTGAGTTTTCCATCATTTTATTTTTTAATTTTTTTTAGTAATGGAAACAATTTCCATCCACCATTGTAATAAATTCTATCATTCTAATTGACAATTTTCATAAAAAAATAAAGTCAAACGAATACCAAAAGATCCAAAATTTCAACATTTTTCAGGTGAAAAATTATACCAATCAAATAATTTAATTGACAATTCCCAATAAAACAAGTTTTAGGAATTCAATTCCTTGATTCGTTTTCTTTCCACTTAAATTCTTTCCTTACAATCAAACGGGCCCTTATTTTAAATAGAAGGGTAAAATTGTAAAAAGTAGATGAAAAAGACCTTTTGTGCAATAAAAGCTGAAAGGTGGGGATGAAAATGTCAAAAAATAAAATATATGAATATTTTACACAATAACATTAAAAAGTATGAATATTTTGTACTAACTACCTCCTAGAAAATTTAGGTGGACGCATTGTAGTGGATCTTTGCTCTTTAACATAAAAAGTAAACTCCCGTATTAACCCACCCAATTGGAGCCGCATGATACTGCGCGTACGAAACCGCGTAAACCGTCAATATAAATACTCACCGGCAACCCCTTCAGACGGGGAAAAAAAAAAATATTCACTCTTAACAATGGAGAAAAACTCGAAAAGACCAGAGATTTTGTTGACCGAGGCAGAAGAAGTTGAGAAGGTATTCGAGAAATTCGATATTAATGGAGATCACAAAATCTCGTTACAAGAACTCGGCGAAATTTTGAAGGCGCTCGGCTCGAAAACTGGAGAGGAGGAATTGAAGCGCATAATGTCGGAATTAGACACAGACGGCGATGGTTCCATTGATATTAACGAGTTTAAGGCGTTCTATTGTGGCAGTGGCGACAATAAGGAGTTGAAGGATGCATTTGATTTGTACGACAAGGACAAGAATGGGAAAATCTCGGCGAGTGAGTTGTACTCGGTACTAGAGGGCCTGGGTGAGAAGTGTAGCCTCAAGGACTGCCGACGAATGATCAGCACCGTCGATGTTGACGGCGACGGCTGCGTTAACTTCGAAGAATTCAAAAAGATGATGAGTGGGTAGGCCTTCGTCATAGCACGTGACTCTTACTATTTCTGAATTCTAACTTTACTTCTCCGTTCTATTGCAATTTAAAAGTAACTTTTAGATAGTGGTTTCAGGTGAATATGAATATTCACAATCACACTTTGATCTTCTTTCCTTATTATCCTGTTCTATTTTGACTGGTTATGGAAAGAAAATTGTGAATTACTGCTAAATTTTTGTTATATCTGCAAATAGTTTAGGTCAATCCATTAATAAGTGTTAGCAGTAAAACTAGTGGTGGAACTATTGCGATTTGATTTCAATGAACTAAATTTAGTTGATCATTCAATGGAATATGATCCAATAAATCTAAGAAAAACTGTGTGGTTTTTAGGACTTTAATGGATTTTTTAATGTATGTTGCGTAATTATTCAGCACTAAAATTGAAAAAGTGGATTGAGAGTGAGGGCAATCGCACTTATCTTTTGAATTTGTGGTGAGGATATCGAATGTCATGAGAATTATTCTTGGAAAATTCTACTTATATATGTTCATCCATAATGTGATGTGATAATAAGTGTGGGATTTGAATTAAATGTTGGATCCAATGCCACGTGTAATTATGGACACCATTATATAGCACTTCCCATTATTCTTTAGGGTACTAGTTGATGACCACACAAATGCTTGGAGTGTATTCAATGATACTTGTCTAGAATTTATACTTGATGTTGAGTTTGTTCATAGAAAATAAAGTCAATTTTATCAGTTTATTTATTTATTAAAGAAGCTAATTAACTTTTGAGAAAAGTATATTCTTTAATTTTCTAATGTATGATTACTTAATTTAACTTTTTATTAAGATGTCTCGAGCTAACAATTATGATGAGATAACATTAACAAGTTAGAAAATTCGCGTTTGAAATTTCGCAATACTCATTTAAAGGTTTTAACTTTTAATTAATCTTCGTCTTGTAGTAATTTGGCAAATCGTCGGCCATGGCACAATTTTGATTGGCCGCATTGGATCAATTAACGATTCATTAAATGGGCTAATTCATACGTATTTAGTGGCTTAACTAAAGCAACTTTGGAAGTTTGTAGGCTATTTATGTAGAAAAAAGTTCGATGACTAAAGTGATAGCTACTTCAGGAAGACGTGTGTTTGTGTCGAGCAAAATTCTATATTTATCAAAAGAAGGCATTCTCCTTTATTAGTACAATAAGTGTTTGTACAAAACAAGTAACACGTAACTTACTTTAGAGTACATCCAACCTTTAATTCGAGAAATATGGAAATCTTTACAATTGTCCCATTTCAGAGCATGACGGGTGGATGACGGCTTGGCTTTCACTTGCATAAGAGGCCTAATAATTCATTCTGCATGCAATTTATATCACGTGCTTGCCAAATAATTTTTCGCTGGCCATGTTAAGAAGCTTTGTCACTTCCAGGCAGGTGCACTTAAATAAAATATTCTTAATATATTTTATCCTTCTAAAGTTCACGTAACCCTGTTGATGCTACCAAAAATCGTACCTGTTGATTTTCCGAGTTTGATGATTCGGGTTGATCACGATAGTGGTCTTCCGGTACCTGAAACAAAGGCAACGAGGTGTGTTCTCGTCGCCCCTCCGATGCTTAAGTCAGAAAGGGAAATATATGCGTAAGGCTATGTGTTGAAGAACAATGAAAAACGTACCTGAATAATGGCCCAATGTTCTGTATTTATAGAGGTAGGTGGTGTGTTCATATTAGGATTCCGTGTTGCATCTGTAGTAGGATAGCTTGATTTTGCAATCTTACACCAATGAGTCCTACGCGAGATAGAAGTTTGAATTGAGGTATAACTGTGATACCAATAGAGTTCTTCAAGGCATAGGAGACATGAATTGAGGATATTTAGTCAGAATAAATCTCTCGTTGGATAAGGCGCTCCCGAGGACATTTCGAATGATTGATGAATAACTCTTCGGGATAATAGCCCAGGCATATAGGGGATACCCCGAGCACATATGTCCCGAGCATTTTGATACACATACCGACGAAATTGAGTCCTCGGGTATGTGTAAACGTCGAGAACAAACTTGGTTATATCATTGGCCCCCGTGCACCTGTGCTCGATAATATGCACGAGGATAGGTGCAAAAGGTTCTAATTGCAGTCCTCGGTATATCGCCTTTGACGATTCAATGCTGAGGAAGGACTCCTGAGGGCTGACGTCAGATGTGGTAACGACGCCAGCCCTAGTAGAAAGGCGGTGTAATTTTTAGACTGTGAGATGTAGGACACGTGGCATGATTGAACGGTTCAGGATGCGACCTTTGGGCTCCCACCCATGTTTCCCTATATAAGCCTCCATTCCTATTCATTTTTTACCTTTGTACTATCAGTAAACCTTGTCGGAATCATCGGGATAATGTGAGTCCTCAAGACTTTAAGTTAATTGTTTTTAGAAAAGTCTATATTTAAGATAGGATGTCGAGTAGTGATAGCGATACGTCATCCTCGAGTTCGGGAACACCAATCGAGGACTTAGGGCAGTCGATAATACCTATGACCGTCCCCATAAGTGCAAATCCTCGAGCCCAGGATATCCCGACCCCACTAGTGTACCCCGACCACCCTTGTAGGTTTAAGGAGCACTTAGCCGTGGCGACTGCTAGGGAATTCGGCCTGATGCCGAACTGTGATATTAGGTCTCCGGGTAATGAGGATAGGGTAGCTATTGCTCGGGAGGGAGAGTTCGTCATTTTCAAGGATTCTCTAAAGGGGGGATTTAGGTGGCCATTGCACCCCTTTTTCCTCGCGCTCTTGACCAAGCATAACATGAGCCCGGGGCAGTTAGTGCCGAACGGGTGGAGGATGTTGACATACTTCTTTATAGCTTGTAGATACCTCGGGATTATCCCATATGTCGACTTATGTAGGATGGTCTTCGACCTAAAACAACTCTCCCAATACTCTTGTTTTGCTTACCTCTCAACTCGAGGAGGGTTTAGAATCCCGAGGATGCCTAGTTCCTTGAAGGGGTGGAAGGATAAGTGGTTCTATGCTATACCTCAAGATCCCGACGTTCCCTTTAGTCCTCGGTGGGGGGTTCCTGATACTGCTAGGTTTTGTGGGGGTCAGGCATACTTTGAATCGTTGGAGAGGCATAGGCAAATGCTAGAGGAGCTCGAGCCCCTCGTTTATGGCTTGGATGATATCCTCGAGCTTGCAAACATGAAAGGAATCGAGGGTAGGATATGTTAACTTGACGCTTAAAATCCCGGTCTGTATTCTTGCTATGCTCGTGCTAATTACATGTAATTTTTATTTTTGCAGAGATGACGTTTGATCCAAGTGCCCTTCGTCAGGCAGTGAACAAGAAGTCCAAGGCTCCCCAGGCTCGGGCTCCCGGCCAGAGGAGGGGCCAAAAGAGACCTCGGGATTCGAGGCAGGAAAGGCAGACCAGTGGGCCTGGGGAATCTTCAAGGCCCCGAAGATCGTCTCCGGGAATAGTGAGGACGGGATCTCAGCAGCAGGATCATCATGGGACTCCTCGGGAGTCTGTTCCTCGGGGACCTGTTGATGTGGTCGACCTCGAGGATGGGAGCCTGCCACCGGGGCCTGCTAATCCCGAGGGATGCTCTCGGTGCCACTCAGTGCTCAGCATCGTCGACAAATACCGGGCAGATGTCGACTTAAGCAATGGCTTGAGGGCTCTCGAGGCTATGGCCTTGAAGGTAAGCTCGTCGGCTGTTTTCACATTATTTTTGTTAACTTGACGTCCCGAGGTTAACCTTGCACCATTTTGCAGACACTGGGAATAGCTCGGGGCCTTTCCTTGAAGGAAAGGGATGAGTCTTCAAGAATGGCCGACCTCGAGGGTGCCGTTTCTGCTCAGGATCTGAGGATCGCCGACCTGGAGGAAGAGCGAGCTCAGCTACTGAGGGAGCGCGAGCGTATGCAAAATGATCTACGCAGTGCTCAGGGTGAGACAGGTGCTGCGAAGGCTGAGGCTGAGCACTTCAAGCTCGAGCTCGATCAGCTTAAAAAAGATTTTGATGAGAAGCTGGCCAGTGCTCGGGAGGAAGCGATCGAGGACTTCAAGAAGTCTGATGCCTTCAACGAGTTAAAGGGCGACTATGCTATGGGCTCTTACTTTCATGCTCTGAAGGAAGCTCGAGCTTTCATGCGCCTGAGGCCAGATGCTCGCCATGAGGATCTGAAGTCAATCCCCGAGGTGGCTGATGATCTTCATCTTTCAGAGTCTGAAGAGAACGCTGGGGATGAAGACGTCGATATCGAGGGTGATGACGTCGTCGAGGAAGGCCAAGGCAGTCAGGATACCGACGCCTGAATTTACCGAGCGTACTCTGTAAAATTTTATTTTATTTTTTGTAGTTGTTAAATGCCCGATCTTAATGGAAATAGTTTTTTCCTTTCCACCGAGTTTATCGTCGTGTTTCTTATTTCATATGAGTCGAACATTAACCAATATCTCGATGACCGAGAAGGATTAATTATCTCAACGACAAAGACAACTAATTATCTCGACGACTAAGAAGATTAATATCCCGACGACTAAATAATCATGACGATTGAGACAAAACAATTGGATTTTTAAGCAAGTCATAACGCCGAGGACAACAGCGAATAGTTCAACACCTTGACGGTAAAACTTTCCCGACGTTTATATTGAATTACCTCGAGGACTACTTGCATTGGGTGGTAACCTCGGGGTTTATCCCCGAGCTTTCGCTTTGCAGTCTTAGCAAAGAATACAAGGATATATGGTTGGGATGTATGTCCTCGGGACTTATACTTGTGTTGCACTATTTTGATGTGCTGATTATGAGTTCCAGGATTTTGGTGTTTGCGCGAGGCAAGGCTTGACATGCTTGCTCGGGGTAAGGCTTTAGATGGCTTGCTCGAGGGCAATGCTTACATTGGCTTGTCAAGGACAAGGCTTAGACGGCTTGCTCGGGGCAAGGCTTTAGGTGGCTTGCTCGAAGGCAAGGCTTATATTGGTTTGTCAAGGACAAGGCTTACATGCTTGCTCGGGGCAAGGCTTTAGGTGGCTTGCTCGAGGGCAAGGCTTATATTGGTTTGTCAAGGACAAGGCTTACATGCTTGCTCGGGGCAAGGCTTTAGTTGGCTTCCTTGATGACAAGGCAAACTATCGGGCTGTTATACCCAAGATTCGAATTTATTAATTGTTTGGACTGGACTTGGATTTATATATTGCATCCAAGCTGCCTACGTACTCAAACGGGAACAAGCCGAACGTAGTTCATTATAAAAGAGAACGGAAAATATGCATGGGCACGCAGGCCCGCTAAACTAGAAATAAAATGCAGAAAAAGAAAATCTCCAAAAAGACGTCGGGAATTTTACTTGTAATATATTTTTAGATTGTCGGCATTCCAGGGCCTCGGAAGAGGTCTGCCCGAGGTGTCTCTTAAGCTGTATGCTCCTCTGCGAACCTGTCGTATGACTTCAAAGGGCCCTTCCCAGATGGGCCCGAGTTTCCCTGGGGGGTGGCCTGCTGCTTCGGCCCTCCTCAAGACCAAATCGCCAGCTCTGAACCTCCGAGCCATGACTTTGCTATTAAAATGTTTCGCTGTCTTAGTTTGGTAAGAGGCCACCTTTATAGTGGCTTGCTCCCGTACTTCTTCCAAGAGATCAAGATGTTCAGTTGTATGCTCCGAGGTTTCTGGCACGAGCCTCCTATGGCTTGGCAGTCTAATTTCCACCGGGACCATTGCTTCAATGCCATAGGCTAACATAAAAGGAGTTTCTCCTGTGGTTGTCCTATGAGTCGTTCTGTACGTCCAAAGTATAGCAGGCAGCTCGTCGGACCAAGAACCCCTAGCTTCGCTCATCCTTGTTCGGAGGTCTTGCAGTATGATTCGATTTGTTACTTCGGCCAGACCGTTGCTCTGAGGATGCGAAACTGATGTCAGACGGTGATCAATCCCAAGGTTCGAGCAAAAGTTTCTAAACTGTTGGTTGTCAAATTGTCTGCCATTGTCGGTGATGAGGACCTTTGGAATCCCGAACCTGCAAATGATAGACCTCCAAGTGAAGGTTCTTAGCTTGGGCTCTGAAATTGTGGCGAGGGGTTCGGCCTCTACCCATTTTGTGAAGTACTCTAATGCTACAGCAACAAACTTTAATTGGCCTCTTGCCACAGGAAAGGGGCCGAGGATGTCAACTCCCCATTGTTCAAACGGGGCCGAACAGTTAATGTTGGTGAGATCTTCGGCTGGTGAGTGGATAACATTCCCAAACCTCTGGCACCTATCATATCTTTTAACATATTCTGAGGCGTCTTTTTTCATGGTTGGCCAGTAGTATCCATATCGTACGAGTTTAAAGGCCAAGGCCCTGGCTCCTTGATGATTCCCGCACACACCTTCATGAACTTCAGCAAGGGCTTGGGATGATTCTAATGGCCTGAGGCACCTTAGGTATGGAAGAGTAATACTCCTGCGAAAGAGGACATCGTTGATCATGCAGTACCTAGGAGCTCGGGCTCTGATGCTTCTGGCCAACCTGGCATCGCTTGGTAGATTTCCGCTTGTGATGAATTCTATGATCGGGTCCATCCAGGATGGTTCGTTGTCAATGTCCATGATGTCGAGGATTTGACTGATGCTGGGTTCTGTGATGATTTTAATGTGAACCGTTCTGTCAAGGCCGTCTATCCCCATGAACACAAGCCTGGATAATGCGTCGGCTTTTTCGTTGTCCTTTCGAGCAATTTTTGTAATTTCACAGCTCTTGAATTTTCGTTGAAGATCCTGAACCTTCATACAGTACAAACTCATTTTCTCCTCCTTTCTTTCAAATGATCCTTCAATCTGTCCGACCACTAGCTGTGAATCGCTGAATATCTTTACGAACTCGAGCTCTAGGCAAAGGGCTAGCTCAAGAGCAATAACGACGGCCTCATACTCGGCCTCGTTGTTGGTTGCTTCAAACTCGAACCTGAGAGCGCATTGGATCTCTGTTTGTTTGTCAGGGCTGATGATGATGACCCCTGCGCCCGAGCCCGAGGAGTTCGATGCTCCATCCACAAATATTTGCCAAGTGTCCAGATTAGTGCTCATGCTCGAGCTATCACCTGGCCTCCGAGGCCTAGGGGTTAGTTCTGCAATGAAGTCGGCCAGAGCTTGGGCTTTGATAGATGGGCGTGGTTTGAATTCTATGTCAAATTCTCCAAGCTCGATTGCCCATTTCATCAGTCTTCCTAATACGTCCGGCTTCTGAAGTATATGCCTAAGTGGTTGATTAGTGAGCACCACAATAGGAGGCTCAGGCCTAGTGAGAATCGGTGGAGATGCCAATGTCTGCTTGAGCTCCTGGAAAGCTTTCTCACAGTCTTCACTCCAATCAAAGCCTTGGTTTCCTCTTAGGACTTTGAAGAAGGGATAGCACCTGTCTGATGCTCGGGACATGAACCTGTTCAAGGCTGCTATCCTACCAGTCAACCTCTGTACCTCTTTCTTGTTCCTTGGTGATTCCATAGACGCCAAGGCTTGTATTTTGTCAGGGTTGGCCTCTATCCCCCGGTGAGTGATCATGAAGCCCAAGAACTTGCCCGAGGCCACGCCAAATGCACATTTTGCGGGGTTCAACTTCATTCCGTACTTTCGCAAGGTGTTGAACACTTCTTCAAGATCTGAAATATGTTGGTCCACCTGTTTGCTTTTGACCACCATGTCATCAACGTACGCCTCCACATTCCTTCCAATCAAGTTAGCAAAGACTTTGTTGATGAGCCTTTGGTATGTTGCCCCTGCATTCTTCAAACCGAAAGGCATGACCTTATAACAGTATATGGCAGAATCGGCCATGAATGAGGTCTTTTCTTGATCTTCTTCAGCCATGAGGATTTGATGATAACCAGAGAATGCATCCAAGAAGCTGTATAGCTTATGTCCAGACGTGCTATCCACCAAGTTGTCAATCCGTGGTAGGGGATAACTATCCTTTGGACATGCTTTGTTAAGATCTGTGAAGTCGATGCAGACCCTCCACTTACCATTGGCCTTCTTCACTAAAACAACATTGGCAAGCCAATCCGGATATTGGACCTCCCGAATGAACCGAGCACTTATGAGTTTGTTAATTTCTTCGCGGATGACTTCCCGATGTTCTGGGGCAAACTGTCTTTTCCTCTGCTTTACTGGCCTGGCCCCTGGGCTAATGTTAAGCCTGTGGACTGCAATTTTAGGGTCTATCCCTGTCATATCCTCAACTTTCCAGGCAAAAGCGTCAATGTTGCGAGATAAGCAACCAACAAGTTCTGTCTTCAGGGTGACGTCAAGATCCCGACCAATTGTCACCTTCTTATCGTGCTCGAGCTCAATTTCCATCAGTTCTTCGACAGGAGCAAGCCTGACTTGTTGCCCATCCTCGGGATTTGTCCTCGAGATTTGCATGACGTCGCTATTTATTTCCCGAACGCTGGCAACATAGCATTGTCTGGCAGCTGTCTGGTCTCCACGGACAACCCCAACGCCATTACTTGTTGGAAACTTCATGGCTAGGTGGAATGTGGACATAATGGCTTTAATCTTGCTCAGGAGTGGTCTTCCCAGAATCGCGTTATAGGCCATTGAGACACGTACCACTTGAAAAGATGTCATCTCCGTAACCTGTTTCTGGCCAGAACCCAAAGTTAGTGGAAGCTCCACGACACCCTCTGGAGTGATGACTCCTCCACCAAACCCCTGGAGAGGAGTTTTAACCGCTTTGAGCTGGTGAGACGAGATTCCCATTTTGACAAAAGCTTCTTGTGAAAGTATGCTGGCCGCACTCCCGTTATCAACCAAGATCCTCTTTACTTCGAAATTGGCCAAAATTGCTGAGATTACCAAGGCATCATCATGTGGGAGTGATACGCCTTCTAAGTCTCCGGTCCCAAAAGTAATATCCTCCAGCTTTCCATGGGGCATCCCAGAGGCCAAGGCATATCGTCGGGCATATTGTTTTCTTCCACTGTTTGAGTCTCCTCCCGAGGCAATACCTCCAATGATGATATTGATGGTTCCAGCAGTGGGTTGACCATCCCTTTTTGCCTCAGGGAGTTTCTCCCTGCCACGATCATTCTTCGGACGTTTGTCGTTACCGACGTAGGAACTCAAGAGTCCTCTTTTAATAAGGGCTTCAATCTCCCGTTGCAGGGCCTTACAGTTTTCCGTGGTATGCCCATGATCCCGATGGAACTCACAGTACTTGTTCATGTCCCTGGATTCGGGTGGTGACCTCATTCTGACAGGCCATTTCAGTTCCTTCATATCCTTGATCTCCATTAATATATTGGTCTTTGACGTATTTAAACGTGTGAACGGCGTCGGGGGAACCTCCTGTCTCTGTTTTTTCCGATGTTGTTCTTCACGGGGGTTTGGATCTTGCTGTCTTTTATGGTCGACCCTGTCGTGGGATGGTCCAACCTTTCTCGGGTTCAGTGTTTTCTCCATATTTATGTACTTCTCGGCTCGGGTAAGAAGCTCGGTAACTGTCTTTGGTGGAGTTTTGGATAAAGACATCTTGAAAGCCTCGTACTTTATGGCATATGTGAGGGCAGAAACTGCTGCAGTTATGTGTAGGTCGGGAATCTGAAGCCTCTCCTTGTTGAACCTGGTCATGAAGTCACGTAGGGTCTCATTCTGCCCTTGTCTAAGTTGCATGAGGGAAGCCGCTGTCTTCCTGATGCGTTTGCTGCTTGCGAAGAAAGCGGAGAACTTGTCCGCCAAATCCGAGAATGAGGCTATGGAGTTGGACTCTAAGGTTGAGAACCAATCCCTAGCAGCATTCGTCAAAGTTTGCGGGAAGGCCTTGCACATCACCTGATCTGGTGCAACCTGTAGATTCATGACGTCCGTGTAGATGTTCAGATGATTGATTGGATCGGTGGTCCCATCATATTCTTTGATCCTAGGATACTTAAATCTGTCTGACAAGGGGAATGTTAATATCTCGGAAGTAAATGGAGTGTTGGGACTGAATCTTGTCGTCCCTTTGTTGCCCTGAAGTAGGCCCGCCGCAATTCCTTCTTAAATAATCCTAGCGAGTTTCCCGGACTCCATGGTCACTGATCTCGAGGTCGAGGTCACACGTGGTATACCCGAGGCCCCTGCTCCGCCATTGTCAGGGACACGTGCTCGAGCATCGGCCATAAAACCCCCTTGGGGTGCTGGTGTGGGTGACGGATGCGAATTTCTTTGACTTAGCAGCTGAGTCAGTGTGGCGACCTGTTGTCTAAGCTCTTCAAAGGCTCCAACAGTGACAACTACTGGCAGGGGCTCTGGCACTTCTGATGATTCCTCTTGAGGAACAGGGATATCCTCAGGAGGAGGTTGGTTTGGAGCGGATGAGCTTGCTGATGGAAGACCAGAACGTGTGTTTACCATGGCTTTTGGTAGCGGTTCCCACAGACGGCGCCAATGATGCTACCAAAAATCGTACCTGCTGATTTTTCGAGCTTGATGATTCGGGTTGATCACGATAGTGGTCTTCTGGTACCTGAAACAAAGGCAACGAGGTGTGTTCTCGTCGCCCCTCCGATGCTTAAGTCAGAAAGGGAAATATATGCGTAAGACTATGTGCTGAAGAACAATGAAAAACGTACCTGAATAATGCCCCAAGGTTCTGTATTTATAGAGGTAGGTGGTGTGTTCATATTAGGATTCCGTGTTGCACCTGTAGTAGGATAGCTTGATTTTGCAATCTTACACCAATGAGTCCTACGCGAGATAGGAGTTTGAATTGAGGTATAACTGTGATACCAATAGAGTTCTTCAGGGCATAGGAGACATGAATTGAGGATATTTAGTCAGAATAAATCTCTCGTTGGATAAGGCACTGTCGTAGGTCATAATCCCGAGGACATGTCGAATGATTGATGAATAACTCTTCGGGATAATAGCTCGGGCATATAGGGGATTCCCCGAGCACATATGTCCCGAGCATTTTGATCACATACCGACGAAATTGAGTCCTAGGGTATGTGTAAACGTCGGGAACAAACTTGATTATATCACCTGTAATGAATAATACCACATTTGGTTTCTGAGCAAGCTTTTTAAAGGAAGATATTAAGAACAATGCCAACAATCGGGAGATATTAAGAAAGGAACCAATTAGAGGAAAAATATGTATACGGAAATATGGTTCACAAGACAGTTTCCAAATATCACTATAACAACAGACCAGTCGAGGAAGTTTCTAGTTTGCTTAAAACGCAAACAAACTTTCTACTCATACTATAACCAACCGCCATAGACGACTAGCAGAGGCGCGTTACACATTGCAAGCCACATGCATCAATGCTGCACGAGACAATCTTTAGGAAGATGTGAAGTGGCTCGTGGCACACCAGACTCATGGTTTGCTGTGACGTCATTCTCTACATGCAAGAAACCAGCTGCCTCAGCAATAAATTGCGTCAGCTCCTGAAACCTCTTCTCGGATTGAGAAACCTCGGAAAGAAGACTCCAAGCGTATTGTTCAGATGCTTCATCGTAATCCTTTCTTCTCTTAAGCACTATGTGGCCACTGATTTCCCAAACAGCGGGGTTCACTTGAGTGTCCAGAAGCTCCTGTCCTACTTCTCCAAGTGCTTGTTTCTCGGCATAACACTGGCATTTCATCAAGGAAGTCACAATTAGCTTCTAATGCAATAGGGAAAATATATTGATAAGCATAAATTGACGAAGACATTCAGAAATCCAAAACCAAAAACGTCTCAGAATTATACGTGCATTTAGGAAAATATGTGCTACATAATATGAGATTCATTTTTACCAAGTGCGATACATTAATCAGTAGAAATTGTTCTACTAAATTCATATAGTATGTAAAACAAATCCAACATCCCAGATGGTCAAATAAGCAGTAAGAAATATCAGATTAAATGCTAATCGACGTTACCATGTATCATTCTTTGCACAGATTTATGAGTGTTGATAAACCATATATTCAATGTCAAATAAGACTTGATGATGTAGGATTATTGGTAATTCACGGATCACCGCACAAAAGCGGCCAAGAAATTCTAAGATAAATTACCTGAGGTAGCAAAAATATTCTTCTGCCACAATCAGCTATTAGTACGTTGAAAGGAATATTATTATTTTGGAGGAAAACACAGGAATTGGCAACAGCATCAGATAAATTGTGCAACGTGCATTCACCCTCAAAAACAAGACCAGACACAGGATAATCCAATAACTTAGATACTGACACCCTGGTATCACTTGGTTCCTTGATGGCCATTAATCTGCAAGTTGGTGCTTTCTCTATTGGTAATGGAAGTGACAAGTAATATGCCTGTCAAAACACATTTCAAACAATTAATAAAGTCAAACAAAGAGATGAATGACGAATCACATTGAACTAAATAACAGAATGCCTGCTTTATCACCTGAAAGTGGAGGTGATTGATGGTGGCAAATGCACCCAAACTATTATAACCCACTCTAAAGGCCGGATCTGCTGTTTCTCTGGCTAAGTGAAGAGCAAGCAAGAAACTTTCATGATCAATTCTCTGAGGGAAGCAATCAAGTACACGAGGTATCAGAAGCACATGCCCATATTCAATAGGACTCACCTGAAAAAAAAAATACAGGCAATCTAAAATTCGAAAGTTACCTTACTACATTTGTATGTAACTATAACTCACATTGATGGCAACAACATTAGGTGCGCCAGAAGAATCATCAACTGCTGAACTTGGGAAGTAATGCATCTCATTGTTCTTGCTTGGTTCAAACCTGAAGAGGACTTCCTCTTGGCCCACTTTTGTAAAGTTGAACTTGTTATCATCAAATGGCTGAAGAACTTGATCAATACGAAATTCTGTAGCTCGTTTCTTAAGGTGACGCCCCTCGTTCAGCTGTGCAATAAAACCATATTTGCCTGGAATGACCTTTGTCTCACAGGTGGTCACATCATACCTAAAAAGGCCCCTACTCATGCGCTCCTCCCACTGTCCCAACAACAAATTATTTAAAAAGGACATTGGAGGTCCTCTTCCACAAGACAAGTCAATGCCATTCTCAACCATCTCATGCTCCACATTCTTGAATGCATAGATAGGTAGCTTGGAAACTGAAAATATACAAATAATCAATTCAATTGAACAAGATATCTTAGAATGCATTTCACAAAAAGCAATTAGACATATCTCTTCACAGTCAAACGGATTGCTGAATTTTTGCCTGATGTTTACATGTCAAGGAAAATTGTTCCAGTTGAACTGTTTAAAAATTAAAGCTTTGGTTGACTTCAAATTATAAAACCAGAAATAAAGATGCACAATATAAGACCTCTCTCTTTTTCTGAAAATGACAATGAAACAGACACGTAGCAAACACCAAACCAAAGATTCAAAACTTTGTCAATATTAAATTATTCATAAATATTTAATATATACTATCTACTGATGACACCGGTATTAATAAGCTAAAATGTAAAAATATACCAGGGAAGCAGCACTTTCCAAGGCAATTGCGGTCACATCCTCGAGCCTTGCTTTCCAGGTCCTCAGATGAAGCATTCTCTTGATAATTAGAGAGCACGGTTGGCACCCGTTTTATAGTCAACATCCTTTCTATAGACATCCCGTCCCTCCTGGATCTATGCGTATTTACGCGTTCGTGTCTTCTTCTATCCTATCGTTTAAAATTCAAACACAGGGAACAAAAATGGCTTACTTAAACTACAAAGAAAATCAAAGCCACCGCCAGCAAGGAAGAGGACATCGGAGGGGCAGCCGCCTTCGGAGGGTAAAGCACCCCGGCCGCCGTGTGGGGATGGGATACGGTTCTTCTCGTTCACCTTAGGATTGAAAATCACCTCGTGTTGAATTGTTTGAGACTGGGAAAAGTAACCATTGGATTCAAGAAAAGCCGTGATTAAAAATTTTGTTTGATTGGTATTTAATTGCTTATTTATGGCAATTATGAGCATTAAATTCCTGGAAGATATCGTATATCTGATTTTGCATTCATGGAATTCAGGGAATGGTATACCGTTTGTTTCTCTCCTTCGCTTGTTGATAATTCAACTGCTTCGTTTTCCAGTGCCATTGGCGGTCAACTTTCGTAGGTTTGTTTGTCAGAATTTGGCTAGTTTTTAGCACAAGACCAAAAGCCCACATCTATTGGATGGGCCACTTGGCCCAGTCCCTACTGTGTATCCATAATGGGCTCATTTTGGTCCGACAGTTCAATATCTTAGTTTACATCTTTTATCCACCACAACCACAAGCGTTGTCAATTGGGCAATTTACACGACGGATTGAATTGAAAGGAAAAAAATATTGATTTTTGTTAACTATTTCAAAATTACAATGTAAATTAGCGCTTAAAGAAAAATATGAAAAATCATATATGATATTTTTTATTGTGTAACTTAGACTTTGTTATTATATTATATAATTTGAAATTTTTTACTGTGAAGTTTGGGAACCATATATTTAATAAATTATAACCATACTAACTTCCATTCTATGTTCATATATATATATACATATACAGCCGTGCTGCACTTATAGAAATTCTAGTTCACAGATTGTTTTTAGACTAGATACAATGGGTTGGGTGGGTGATTTTTTTGGGATTGTTTTATCACACACGGGGCCCACACTTGTGTCTCTTCTAGAAGAATTCTGTCAACTAAAATTCTGTACCAATGAAAAATCTCATTTACTTAAAGTACAAGCTCGACTTGAGATCCAACAAAGCCAACTTAGGTGTTTCTTTTTTCTTTTGTCAAATAAAATGTTGGGAATTTTAAGCCAATTCCCTTTATTTTTATTTACCTGTAGGATCTTTTGTTATTCAAGAAAACGTTAGTAAACAAGGAAAAATAATGAACATAATGAACAAATTAAAAGGATCATCAAAGCTTTTCACTATATGAAAAATTGTTACAATTATATAGAATTTCACTTATCAACCAAATCCCCAAGTATCACCGAAAAAAAAAATAAACTCGAGCTTTACCATATCTATCTCTCTGCCCAATGTACAAAAAGTTTCAAGATGTTAGTCTCACAATATTTTTTTCTCAGATCAATTCTCTGACCACACCTAAAATAATGAAATAAATCCACTATATATAGGATCAATAATCAAGTAGAAAAGTTTAATTTAAACTTAAACAAGACTTTTTAACTCAACAAGGATTTCTTCATATGCAAGACTCCAAAATCAACTATAAATTGGAGACCAAATTTTGTAAGGATTCTGCTCTCAACTTTAATTAGAAGTTTTCTATACAATCATTACCTTTCATTATTTGCAATAGAAGTCTTCCAACTTTTTGACTTTTGAGGCAATTACCTAACAATCTCCACGTTTTAGAAAATGAGTCAAAATCTTGTTATCTCTTTTCCAATTTTTATTCACAATACTTGGAAAAAAACAAGTAAGCCTTTGATACACTTGAACGGTCCCATACTCCACCATAAGAGTATAACCACTCAGAATTATTCGCGAATTTCAAGCATTTCATTGGCTACATGTCGAAACAACCCTTCTAATAGTTATGGTACAACTCTTCCATTAACTTTTCTAGAGAGCTTATCAACCATCGACATCACAACAGCACCACATGTCTATACACCTTGCATCAAATGTCGGTCAATGTTATGTGAAGATATGCTGACCACGCTAGTAAGAACGCATTCTCTATCATGGTAATTGGCAACATGCCATGAGAATGTTCCCATCTTACTTTATAGCACCACATCCGTGTCTTCCTCCGTTAAGAGAGACGCGTTGTCCGACCCCAAGCAATTAGTCGACCCTGCTCTACCTTTTGGACAATTTCTCTTCACGTAGCTGGTTTGATCATAGTTCCAACAAGTTACTTTCTTCCTCATGGAGTTACCTTTCTTCCCGTTTTCAGTCACAAGCACCGCATTATCAGATAGAGT